AGAATTACTACTATTTTTCATCACTAAACAGAGTAGTTTCCTCACATAAACTTCAACCAAAAGATCGTCTCTTCCAAACCTATCTTTCAAATATTCAATAGCCTTATTATAGTTTTCAGAAATAGGTGGAAAACTCTCTACAAGATCTTTAGCTTTAGATCCAGGTTCCATACATTGTAGTAAATACAGATACAGTCAAAAGTCTTTAATCCGGACTCGTCGGGACTTCGTCGATTCCGGATTATCGGTTTTTCCGGATTATAGATCATCAGTTTAAATCTGGTAAGATGGCATGCAGAAATTATAAAATTAAAAATATGAAACTGTAATTTATGAAATAAAGAGCAAGTATGATCTAAAGGGTATCAAAATTTACAAAAAAAAAAAAAAAAAAAAAAAAAAAAAGAGCTTAATGTTTTTTTTTGTTTACTTTATTAAACATTTCTTTCAACGCGCGCATGCGTAAAGCATACATTACGCATAATCGAAATTAGAAAATTGCAACCAGAAAACTCTTTCATGCGTATTCGTGATATTTATAATGATGAGGAAATGGATTTAAATTATATCAGAGTACATGGAGATGAAACACTACATTTAGTGAGGAATTATAAACCAAATAAAATAAAAATATCTGCCCTGAAGATGAGGATAGTGCTGACAGATCAACTTCCAGTTAATTGCGCCTCACGATGTCCCCCCCCCTTCCACAGAGCAGCGTGAAATTGATAAACAGATTTCGGAATGGTTAGAGAAACAAATCACCTCTCTGTCACTTTCTTCATGCCTTTATACATTTTTTGCAGCAGTTCCAATTTTGTTTAATGGACATCAAAACATGATTTTGCTTTGCAGATCCTTTGGCAGCTCCAGCATCTGAAATTCTATTTGACATAATCGAAAGTTCAAGCTTACTTTTATAAAATTACTCTAACAGTCCTAAAAAAATAATAAGCCGGATCCAGTTCGAAGAGTAAGAAACAACACAATCGAAACATTAACTGAAATAAATAATTAGATAATTTTAGCCTAGCTTATACTGTCCGTTATATATTAAACGCACACGCATAAACGTATTATGCACACGTGCACACACATATACGCATGCGTAAAGGTATTACGTGCATGCGTGAACGCATTATGCGTTGACGCATCCGCAGAAAGTTTGTAGCTTTGAGGTCCGGATTAACGACTTTTGACTGTACTTATCTTCAGGGACAATTTCCTGATCTTCATGAAATTTTCTAAACTGGCCCCAAAATCTCAACCATTCTTTTGCCTCGCCATTAAACTTTCTTAACTAAATTTTGGGAAGTTTAAATTTCCTTTTAACAGCTTCATTTTTATCATTAGGCAAAATATTTTCCCTTTTATTAAAGTTCTCTTCAAGTCTAATTACTTTCATTTTAAAATATATAAATTTATCATGATATGATTCAGTGGTTTCGATTTCTCTTTTCAAATTCTTCATTGGAACACTCAATTTTGGGAAGTATACTACTATTCAATAACTCTAACACCTGTTTATCCAAAGTATTGATCTTTTGCCATTTATCATCAAATTGAGCAAAAAAACCTGTAATTTTATCTAAATCTAATGTATCGACCTTTAAAAGTTCATCTAAATTATTCACAGTCTTAGTAAAATTTGTTCTTAAGAAAACCTCTAAATTGTTTAAGTTCTTCCATAATTGAAATTAAATGTAGTGTTATTACTATCCATAAACCAAATTCTTAATAAATAATTCAAAGTTCAACGAATATTCATTATAGAAATCATTCAAATTTTAACAGTAATACTCTCTATTTAAAATAAAAAAAGGCTCTTTTTCACTGTAATAAATTTTGAATTAAAGCTATTTGGTGTCCTGTCTTGGATGCCATTTTATGTTATGTTACGTAAAAATACAAAATATCAATAAATTGAATTTATTTTGTACTTACGTTCAGTTTTCCAAAAACATCTACATTGCTCGAGCGCTGTTAGTCAGTACCCCCTGTGTCAGCTCATGGTTTCGTAACATTTATAATAATAGGCTGATTGTTTGAGTGTTGAGAGTTTTTCTTACGAAGGTGAAAGTGGTATTTCCTTTTGTTGGGATTGCTTCATCATTTGTATAGACAAGTTTTTTTCTTGTTTGCAGTTAGTGGCATATAATTTCACTCACAGTAGCAAATGGTTCAATTATTACCTTATCCTAATTTGATAATCCATCAGTAGATATGCATGTTTGTCCACTTCTTCATTATCATGCTTATTATTGTTTTTTGCTTCATTGTTCGTGCATTGTTCAACCATTGCACATCTTAACGTTATATGACGCTAATGCTCTGCTCTTTTGAAATGTGTAGTTATAGGGATCTGTCTGCTGGTAATATCTTGTATGTTTCCACATAAGGAGGAACTGTATTATTGATTATTATTGAGCTGCGTTATTATTATTATCTCGTACAATTTTGCATTTTTGGTTGTTTATTTCAGAATTCTCGAAAGAAAAAATTTATATTTAATCAAAGCTTACTATGAACTCGATGATTAAATCATCTGTGAATTTATTATCTAGATATATAGGTTAGATCGAAGAGGAATCTGTATGTTGTGCTTAATATTGTCTCATAATAATATGCTGATTATTTGAGTGTTGAGATTTTTTCTTATGAAGGTGAAAGTGGTATTTCCTTTTGTTGGGATTGTTTCACCATTTGTATAGACAAGTTTTTTTTCCTCTTGTTTGCAGTTAGTGTCTTGTAATTTTGCTCACTGTAGCAAATGATTCAGTTATTATCTTGTCCTAATGTGATTGATCCATCAGTAGATATGTATATTTGTCCACTTCTTCATTATCATGCTCATTATTGTTTATTACATCATTGTCCATCTATTGTTCAACCATTGCACATCCTGACGTTATATGGCACTAATGTTCTGATCTTATACTCTTTTGAAATGTATGGTTTTAAGGATCTGTCTACTGGTAATATCTCCTATGTTTTCACATAATGAGGAAGTGTATCATTGATTATTATTGAACTGCATTATTATTATTATTGTCTCGTACAATTTGCATTTTTGTCAGAATTCTCAAAAGAAAAGTTTTATATTTAATCAAAGCTCTTTCCATGCATGAATGGTTGAGGCTAAGAGCATAAAAGGGAATTTATTTATCTTAGCCATATTTTATTACTGATTATCCCACATTCCACCTCTAAGGTTAATATAACTCTGAAATTCTTCTCTCATGATATTATTATCTCATCATTCATGAAAAAATTTACTTGTTACTTTTTTGTAATTTTCTTTATGCAGCATTTTCCATAAATAATTTATTCAAAGAATTATATGTGCATAGACCTCAGCTTAGCAGCAGAAAATATAAAGTGTAAGACATTGTTCCCTTAAACCTAAATTATAATATACAAGGTTCCTTTGATCGCAGGTTTGAGTTTGGAAATGTTCGGTCATACTCTCTTCACTTGGTCCCCGCAGACTTCTTTTTGTTTCCCAAACTCAAAACTGTGATCAAAGGAACATGCTTTGTGGATGTTAAAGACATCAAGAACATGACGTTGACATTGAAGAGGTTTCCGAAAGAGGACTTTACAAGTTGTTTCCACAACTTATACAGCCGAGCACAAAAGTGTGTTACAGCCGATGGGGATTACTTCGAAACATATTAAAAGGTTAAGCTTTTCTCATCATCTGTTTTGGTGTTATTAGAACAGTCCTGAAAATTAATAGCCACACCTTGTATGTACCTCAGTATGAGCCTGCTTTGAAACTCGTCCAACTTGGTATATGTCCTGTTTGAATGTAAAAATTTTTGTTCAGTATTCAGTATTTAATTTGATTACAACTCATTTCATAAATTCCAGCTACGTAAACTATGCTTGTGTACTTCTTTCAAAACAATTTTACGAATACCCATGAGCATCAGTACATCTGTTGCTATTATTCGGCAAACAACCCATGCTATAACTCTGAATTTCAAGTGATTTTTGTGTTTCGTCACATAAATGTTTTGTATATCTATAAGGAGGGAGTTTTAGGAAAGTCAGAAAGTCAAGCAATAAAGAAAATTGTTATTGATATATATTACATGGTCAAAACATACTGTGAAAAACAAAGACTCTATTAAATTGGCTAGCATTGCAAAGAGGGTGAAATCAATTACCAAGCATAGATCAGAGACATTAGAGCTTGTTGAAAAATTGCTTTTGCTCCAAGTAAGAGAAAAGCATTTATGTACAGTATTATGGGCAAACTTTGCACAGTATATATTTCAATCACTTTGCAATGCATGGGTTGAGCTGATCTTTAAACAGTACTCAGGTCACAAATGAAATATTGAATGCCTTTAAAAAAATCCTGAACTTTTCTTTGAATTATAACAAGTTTTGTATTCATTTCGGTATTTTTTATGCCATTTAGAACACCTTATGTGTTAACAGACATTTCTTTCTTCCTGTTTTTTTAGTCATAGGCATGAAATAACAATGATTAGCTTTCTTTACACTATTTCAGTGCATATAGAGTGATTCCAAAAATATGAATATTAAGAACATACTATTTGTGTTATAGGACTGATATAATAGTATGATTTAAGAATTCTTGTGCTTGTATAGGAAAAATTTGGCAGAATAGCTTTCTTTACACTATTTCAGTGCATATAGAGTGATTCCAAAAATATGAATATTAAGAACATACTATTTGTGTTATAGGACTGATATAATAGTATGATTTAGCAGAATTGCATAAATGAATAATATTTTGATATATACTTTGAGTTTTAATTTGTTGAGTGTTGAACTTTTCACAGTGAAAACGAGATGTAAATTTGGTCTGAGAGCAGATAATTTTAATTTTCCTACAGCAAATTTTACAACAAAATCTTGGATATAAACAAAACATTTTTGACCTAGTATTTGTTTTTTACATTTGTTTGTTCAATTATTGATATAAGGTTAAAATTTTCTAATTTCATAATTTTTAATTTTTTCAGGTCTTATCCTACACATCATAATATAACTATTGAAGAATTTCAGAAACTTTTGCAAAGGTATAGCAAGTGTGAACAAAGGTTTGGGAAATGAGAGTGCTGTGTTTCTTGTTCCAAACTTCTAGGATCTGTGATTTCAAAATGAAGATTTTTCATTGTTTACTTAATCATGGAAAAAAAGAAAAGACCAGTGTTTTTTTAAGGAGCTCAGAAATGTATTTTTACATTAATTCATACTCACAGTTTCAAATCAAAAATCATAATTAGTAATTAAAATTGTGAACAGAAAAATTATTGTACATAGATGTTTCAAATAAATAATACGTTTGTTAAAAATTGTATGTGTGGTGTTTTTCTTTTTCTTTCTTTTCTTCCCCCCCCCTTTTTTTGTGTGTGTGTGTTTTGTTTTGTTAAGATACTACATCTGGGTATGCAGTCTTAAAATGAAATTTTTTAATTTTCCTTTTAATAGATAAGAAAAAATTACAAATAAAATTTATCACTTCTATTGAACATATAGAATTTTATTTATAATTATGTTTGTACTTTTAGCATTTACTAAATTTTAAGGAATTTGATTCCAACATTTAATTTGTGCTTTAATTATATTTCTCTTTTTGGAGCTCAAAAGCAATTAATACCTTTGTGCTCAATAAGCAAACTGTAATTGCACATATTTGTGCTTTATTCAGGATGCAAAACTTAAGATCTCTAACATTTATCTGAGTCAGTAAATGTATAAAAAGTCATGTCATTGTTTTATGAATTTCTAAGCCTTTATTATTATTTGGTTGTATATATGAGGGGTGTTCAAATGAAAAGGTTCAAAACATCGTAACGAGGAAACGAGCTGAAATTTTAACATGCCGCTTTTGGATAACATAGTGAGACATCTAGGGATGAGCATGTAGGGTCAGGTGTGGTGCTTATATGCATGCATGTTGCACTGGATAGAAGGAAGCAGTTATGTGTTCCATCCAATTGACATGGCAGTGCATGGAAGGACATCATGGCATTTGCATTGCAAAATTTGAAATTGCTGGATAGTGGTCATATATGTGGGAGACTGTGTGTCCGACAAATCAGTGAGAAAGTTGAGTGCCTGTTTTTGTGAAGGCCAGGAGTGTTTGAGTCATGACCAGGCCAGACAAACATGACCGAACTCATTGACGCAGTGATGGTCAATCCAGTGATGGTAGGGGCCAGCATTGGTGTATTTTTGTGGTGTATTTTAATTATGGCAAAGCACACTAGGGCTATCTGCCTAAGGGGAGGGATGCCTTCGTGGAGGACTTTCTAAGGGAAACTGGCTCGTATACACGTTACACATGGGGAAAACCATGAAAACACCCATGCACCCATTCGCTGGATTCGAACCTCGGACCGAACTACCAGTGTTCAGCGACTTTACCACTTGGCCGCTGGTGGGCCGGGCAGCATTGGAATAGCATGGGCAGGTGTGCACAATAGGTTGGGTTACTGGAAGATGTTTGCACAGTGGGTTATGAAGAAACTTGACAAACCGCAAAAGGAACTGTGTATGGGGCTAGCATTGCAAACCTGCTCCAGTATCATGAAGACCCTATTTTCCTGGAACAGATTGTCATTGGTGGAGAGAGCTAAGTGTCATCATTTTGAGCCAGAGATAAAGCAAGACAGCATACAATGGAAGCATGTATCATTACTTCCCCCTAAAAAATTCAAAGCTTGTGCCATCAGCAGGCAAGGTGATGCTCACAGTCTTTTTCAATGTCCAAGGTCCAATACTCATCAGATTCCTCGAGCACGTAAAAACCATTAACAGTGACGTGTACTCTGAAACACTCCATATCCTGCGTCAGTCCATCAAGAGCAAACGGCCTGGGCTTCTCACAGAGGTAGTGTTCCTATTCCACATTAACATACATCTCCAGGATCACACAAAGTTTAATGGCCAGGTTCAAGTGGGCATTTGCCCTACAGTTTAGGCAAGTTGCCCTGTGACTTCCGTGTGTTTAGTCTGCTTAAAAACATCTCAAAGGGAAGCACTTCAACTTGGACGAGGAACTGAAGGACACAATGGAGGACTGACTTCTGTCATAACCACAGGAATTTTAACAGGAAATCCACTGGCTCATGAAACAGTGGGATAGTTATGCTCAGGCTTCTGGTGATTACTTGTGAATTAAAGACTTCAGTTATACCCCTAGTGTTGTTTTGTACCTTTTCATTTTAACACCTCTCATATATATCAGGGGTGATCTAAAATCTGGACCTCCAAACCACAAGAAACCTTATTTTTTTAATTATAATTTTTTAAGAAATTATTTTGTATGCTTTATGCATGCACATTTGATACTTTTTGATAATAAAATGTGGGGAGTGCTGATTTTTAACTTCACTTTTACATTAAATAAAATACCTCAATATTGAACAAAACAATTTATTAGCATAATAAATGTATGATCAATACTTTGTCTCCGTAGCTACTTTTCTGCTTCGTGTACATCTCGAACCAAAACATTCTACATCAAATATTGTTGATTTTACGCCTACCAAATAATTTATATCCCTGATGCCAACCTAGCAAATCATTTTCTATTTTTTGCTTTCATCAGTGCATGACTAACACATGGCAGTCTGAGAAATGACTCATGCAGCGATGTCTAAAAATTGTTATAAAAATATTAGTAACTGAATGATTGTTACATTTTTGTTGACATTACTCTCAGTGATGATTATAGACTTCAGTAACTGTGCTACGAAGTATTAAATATATTGATGAGGAGAAATTCAACAGCAATTTTTTCCATAAAATAAATTTTGCAAATGATACTCATAGGCTAAAAGTTTACATTTAGTGCTGCTTAATTTGAGAATAACTGATTTGTTATTAATATTATTCCAGGGCTTGTGTCAGAGCTGGCGTGGTTGCAGTCAAGCAGCAGAGCACCAAGCAACAAAATTAAGGGATGGCAAAATCTTTTAAGTCGCCAATCTCATGATACATCACCAATGGTGTTTAGCGGACAGTAGTTAAGCTTTATGATGATACTGGCAAATTTTAAGGTTTTCAGATCGAGGCCAGAGGAAACTCTGGTGGAGGTCCGTAGCAGTTCTGACGTGCAAGTTCTTTTCCAGTTCGTGGAATATGTGAAGATGTAACAAGTTTTTCATTGCAATGGTAATGCCCCAATCATCAGTCAGTTAATGGACTGTGAAATCTGTAGTTCAGTATTCTAATCTAAATTCAGAGAACATTGCTACTGATAATGAGGAAAGTAACTGAGAATGAAAAAAATTGAGTTGAAATTCTCAACATGGTAATTATGGGACTTTCTAAATGAACAGGAAATTATGTCTATGCGCCGAATTAAAGGCAATTGCTTTTGATTGCTTTCCATACTTTTGTAAGAGTATTGCAGTATTGTGTTGAATTGATAGTGCTCCTTTGGGGCACGAAATCAATCAAACATGTTGCATAGCAATCAAAGAAAAGTGAAAGCATCACTTTCAATTTCCTTGGTAGAGAAGATGATGTGTATTTCCATTGAACTCTTTTTCTTGGATTTGGTTGTGCAGTATTGAGATCAGGACTCGTCACCCACAATGATGTGTTCCAAAAAATGTGGGATCCACCTCATAACAGATTCAGTATTAAGAGACTGATGTCACAAGTCCAAACTCTTTGATTGTGTTTGGTAATTTTATCAATGGTGTTGTTGGTGATCGTGATGCTTGCCTGGCCCAGTCTTGTCAGATTCAATATTGTTTGCCACCCTTCACAAAAACGTTTACAACAGTTGTTCACAGCCGCTCGACCTGAACAGTGCTTGGCATTGACTGCCACCATATGTCAGATGTCTGCATTATGCTGATCTTCCATAATCGCAAACTGTACTACTGCACATTGTTCCAGTCTGGACCCATGCATAGCATGACTTGACTAATTTCCTCTACCACGAACAGGTGTCACTGTTGAACGCTGTATGCAATCCGCATCTCCTACCACAATTTATATCCTTGTTTAATGGTGTAGGTGTTTTTTTTTGGGGGGGGTAGCTGGGGAAAGTTTTAATTTTCTTTTTAAATTAAGAATAATATTAGGTTGTCACCTTGTATTGCCTCCCGTTTATTTCATGATCTATATGCAGCTGTTTTATTTGGTGCATTTGTCTAAACTTAAAGCTCATTGTTGAGAAATGGTTATTATTCTTTTCAGTTTGTGTCTACCTATCTTAAAATACATTCTATTTGCATTGAAGAGTTATATGCACCCTTTTGTATGATTTCAGTACGGGCATTTAAAGGAAATACTTGCAACATGTTATATTGTTTTAGGAAACTCGACATTGCTAATGATACTGCACACAAGATTTTCATTGTGTGTGGGAGCATGCTTCAAATTTTTAGAGTTTGCACTTGGTTCAAAATATTCTGAGCTGATAAATTTAGTCTGCAAAATTGTGGCTGCCATTCCTCTACAGGAACACATCTCATCAAGTCCATAGTTATCAGAAATTTATGATATGCTATTCTTGGATAAATACATGCTATAAGAATTTCCTGGATTCTGGTACGTATTCATGATATAAAACATGGCTGCATCAATCACCATGCACATATAGCTTTGCATTAGGTGGGATAGCACTCTTCTTAATCGTGTTTCTAGGAGTGATTTTCTTCTGCAAAACAAGACAGAACTTTTTTTTAAAGAGATTAGTTATTGGAATGAAACAGATCTTTTATAACCTTATGGCTGGACCAAAAGCTTTACAGTGTTAAGTATAAAACTCTTGGTCCAAGCATAATATGTTTTTAATGTTAACAAGTTATGATCTTCATTCACAGATTATTTTAATATCAGTTTGCTGGAATTGAAAATGTACCATTTATTATGAATTGCTTCCATGAAATGAAACAACAAAATACTCATATCAGCTGGGATAAATGGAAAGGACCAATTAACAACAAATGGCCAACAATAGTGAACTGACAAGGTTTCATTTATCAGCACAATAATATCAGCCCCTATTTTTATTTACCCATCAGAAACAAATTGGTAATATCTGTTTGGAATGTTGTACTCGATCTTCCTTGCTCTTCAAATATTGCTGTATGTGATTATTAATCTATTTTGTTCATTAAAAATGTTTTTGCAATAAAGGACTTAGAATAGATTACATAAAAATGCATTTAGAATGATATTTGGCTGGCAGACCAGAAAAATTCTGTAAAGATGGCATTATGCAGTTTTTGGAAGAATGGTAGAAGACAATATGGTAGAATGGATAGTATACAATTCAGCAATAAAGTATAAAATATTGTGCATGCTTTATTTGCTAATAAAATGAAAGAACTTATAGGACAACCTGATAAATATGTATTAATTTTGCTAGCCAGACATTATTCATGCCTATGCATTTGGTTTGAGTTCGTTTTTAAGTAGTGAATCCATCAGCATCTCCAATTTGGGTGAAGTAAGTGAATTATTTGAATTATTCAAGATTTCGTATATCTTGAATTTGAAAACAATAAGTAATATTATTAAATACATAATAATTCCATCAATTAGTTTTTTTTTTTTTTTTTTTTTTTTTTTTGAGAAAGATACTTAAGAACTCATTTCTAAAACTTGTTTTATTTTGCCATGAAGGCTATTTTAAACACGATCGTTTTTTAAGATTCATAATGGATTTAATATAATTATACCTGTTGACTTTCAATTTATGTATTAGTTAGGAAACTATAAAACTTAGCAAAATTTGCGGGATGCAGACAAAAAAGTTGGTAGTTAATTTATTAAATACTTTATCTTTTAATGTTAAGAGCAAATAAAAGTAAGTTTCAGTGTATACACACAGCTATGTTGAGGCCTTCATTATATTACAGTGATGCATATTAGATCTTATTAGATCAATATTATCAAATTAGTGAAGGATGTTCTACTAAACAGTGCCTTCAAGTAACCAATCCCTAATAAATTTACAATACACTCTATTTAGAAACAGTATACCACTGTATGCAAAAATACCTATCACAAATATATTGGAAATATTCCCCATTAATATCCAGACACATTAAAATCCAATACTATACATTACCAGAGATTGTACACAGCAATAGTTTGAATTGCTTCATTACTGTTACTTTCTAAACGTTTTAGGAGCAGGATTTATTTTTGAGAGTCCACCACATTGCCTCTGATCAGCCAATCAAAGAAGGAGACAATTTCATCCATGCTTGTTTGAGATATGGGGCATATTAAAAATGAGCTGTCACTTTATTGTGAATATATTTCACAAGGGTCATTTGAAAGCATCAAGTTTCTGTTGAGAATGGGGTGAATGTTTTTTTGAGGATTTATCTAGTGAAATATCCTATATATTATGTTTAGTTGTATCAAGAGGGAAGAGAAACATTTCAAATTAAAACATAAAATTCCCCAAAATGACAACCTTGTGTTTGGCATAGACTTTAGTCAAGTCTCAAAACTTAAGAGTTTTGACTAAAATCTACACCAAACGTATGGTTGTGCTTTGCCTATTTTTCTTTAATTGCATGTTGTTATTTAAAAACAAAGGAAGAAATCAAATTTTAAGGCTGTGAACAGACCATTTTTTATTGCTTTTTATGTTAAGGACATTAGGTGGTAAACATGAAGAATAGAGCTTTTGAAATGAACTTTAAGCCTGTTTACAGTTAAGCTTTTTAGTTGAATCATTGTACTATTAGACACGGAAAGCCTTATACTGTTGGAGAATATTTATTCATTGTCTTCACTGAACTGCCGTCTTCTTGCAAAATCTTCAAATACAATATCAGTACTCATTTCTCTGGACAGCTGCCTGCGGACTTTTCTTTGCATACTTTTTACTTCTTTCTCTTTCTCAGGGGTAGGACTGACGAGTTTGAAAGGTACATCAGCTACCAGTTCACCACCGATAGCTCCCATATATAACCGTACACGAACCATATACGAGATGACAATACCTAAAGAATCATTTGTGTTTAAGGTAGAAGAGGCAAGATTGGTATCTCCTTCTTTCAGCATTCCATCCAATGCCACACCTCGTTTTAACTGCAAAAAATTTGTTTATGCATAACTTTCACAAGCACAAGTAATAAGCAAACATAATACATAGAATAAACTTACAACTTGATAAGTATAGTCTTTTGAAAGTAAGTCTTATGGTATTGATCCAGTATACCATACGAAAATGCAAGCACATAAGACACCTGCAGTTTATGTTCCAACTAAAATTCCCTAAAGAGCTAAACTGATGTTGGCTTTTCCCGCGTCGGGGGGAAAATACAGTTAGAACAGAACGGAACGATGATATAGTAAGATGTATAGATTCGGCACTGTGCCGCGTATGATATTTCATATTTGTTCGAATCATGTTTGTTATTGTTTTCAATAAATAATCAAGACAACTACTGTAAATTCACTCACACAAAATTTTAAATTTTACTGTTTTTTGAATTTATTTATATAATATGTTTCCAATTTACCTATTTTTTTAAGTGAAAAATTTTAAATAGTAAACTATTGAAACATTTTGATTCAAACTTTCACTTGAATATCTGGGAGAGCTAAGCCCTACCACTGACAAAGTAGTTAAGATTTGTAAATATTGGGAATCCGGCCCGAGTTTTTGATGCTAGGTGAAAGGACTGGCTGCATGGTTGTTTTACATTGTTTCCTCATGTGTAATGTAAATGCAAGCTAGTTTTCATTAGAAATTACGGTAAAAGCCCGACTATCCGGCATTGGACTAACCGGAAACTTCAAGTAACTGGCATGTTTTAGAATTTTAGAAAAAAAAATTTCCCCGAAAGATTTAATTTAGAGGTTTGTGGTGCTATAGAATGCTCGTAATACTATTAACACGCATACATTGTCACTAAACAGTGTGATTTAGCGCTAATACTGGATAAACATAATGCCACAACACAATCACATGAAGTTCGTTTTGGTTTAATGTACATTCGATTTATTTTTGTTAAGCTAGTTTAATTATTTTCAAAGAAGGATAAAAGTTAAATTTTTCCCTCGCATTTTGGGAAAAAAAAAAAAAAATATCGATATTTATGTCTGTGTGAAATGAAGTATTTCCAAAGTTATAGGATCCGACTATAAGAAAAACCACGATGAGCGACTGAATGGATAAATAATGTAACGTTAAAAATATTGATAAGGGATTTTAAAATTTTTTATATGCTATATCTGTAATTTGTATCTTTTTATTATCTAACTAAATAAAGAATAATACGTTTGTTTAAACTTCATCCTGAATGATTGGCAACGTCTCCGCCAACTTTCATGTTCCACGGGAATTCATAATTGGATCAGGTCTACGAGAGACGTCGGCCTTTATACACCGGATATGCATTTTTTTCCCGAAATCTTAATTTTAAATGTAGGCTTTTGATAATCATCACAGTTTTTTTTTAATTATTTAGCATAAAAATAAATGACTACTGCCACAGTATGAGTCCATCAACTAGCTGATCTGTTTGTTAAGCTGGTAACAAATAAGATGATTATTTTTATAATTTTAGAGCAGAATTTTTTCCATTAATTTGGCTTTTCTGGGAATTCCATTTCTTATGCGCTCAACTGTCCGGAATTTTCACCATATTCGAAATTTGACATTTTTCGCATAGTCGAGCTTTTGCTGTACATCAGGAAGGCAGATAGTCCATATGTTACTTTATCATATTCAAATAACCTAGGATAAGTATGTATCATGTGCATTTTTTCAAATAGTTTTTCAAACGATAATGAAAATTATTTTTTATATAGAAGAATGTTGAAACGCAGTTAAAGTCAAGAAAATCCAAAATTTTAACCATATATTTAAATCAGAAAGTGCTTAGTATAACGACACGAAACCATAAAGTTCTGATGAATAATAAAACAGCTTGTATCCGTTTCAAAAGGGGAGGTAATAATATATTATAATATAAAAGTTAACAATATTTTTTCTTGGCATTTAATGGGATTTTTATATCTTTCACCTGCAAGAATGTTGTTTGAAAAACACATTAATGTAATCATTGAATAAAAAAAAAGTATTTTAAAGGTGTTTCTCTTAAATTCTCATAGAAAATACATTAAAAACATTTTTAAACATAAAATAAAAATATATAATTTCAATAGCATAGTTCTTTTTTTTTAATTTCAATGAAATATAAAATGTATCTCTGAAGTATATTTCAGTTTTCCTTAAAGTATATTTTTAAATATTCACAAGAGTGAAGTTGTTTGTAGGGATGATTAAATGACACAGGAAACTATGAGAATGCAAATTATTTCATATTTGAGAATTCTATAAAAGAGACTTGGAGCATAAGATTTATAGTCTATATCTTAGAAAGGTATATAAAGATAATAATATTAGCATCATTCAAATCAAAGTTTTTATTTCAAGTAATAGGTTTACATTTATATTATGTAATAAATACAACTAAGAGACCAGTTTTATTGATTTCACTTCATTTACATGATAACTAAAATTAAATTTTCCTGGTTTTAAGGTACACTAATTGAGTTACTTGTTAACTGTTCTGAGCGTTTCATTACATTTGAATCCACGAGTAACAACACCGATACCATTAAATTCCATTTTCGGAATAAGTTTTCTATTGGTTAAGAACCCCTGCTTTGATGTTTTATCACTCTGAGATCATGGTGTAGAAATGGGAGAGCTGTGAGTATGCAAATATAAAACTGTATTTAAATTTTGTAGATTATGAAAATTTATTGAATTATTTATTTTACGCTTTCTTTAACTTTAAAATATTGATATGCTTTATTCAGGGTTGTAGTACATGCAAAATAAGAAATTAGAAGGGTTTGAGAAAGAATACTTCAATAATATACAAAAATCATAAAATTCATTGCACATAAAAGTATATACCATGTTGCATGTACCATTTCTGGATACAGTGAATTTCTGTTGAGGGTCATTGATTATTTGGTATCATGAAGCACAATAAAATAAAAATGGACAATAAAATAAAATAAAAATAAAAATGGAAATTCTTCCATTATCTTATTGTAAACAAAATTAGAAATACAAATACCCCAGTTAAAATTGCAAAATGTTATAGAGATTTCAATAACAAAACTAATCTCTACACAGATTGTTTCAATAAAGTACATATATTCTAAAATTCCATTAGAATGGAAATCTGTTTGTATTATGTTTTAATCCTGAGTATCCGTACGTTATTCTTTAATATGTCTCGAAACAACCTAATTTTTCTGCAGTGCATCTTATGCTTTAAAATTTCATTTATATCATTATTAGTTTACAGTTTTTATGAAGACTTTGAAATATATAATTGTACTGTAATTAGACAAAGTCCACATCGTGTCCTGATTATGCATAGTTTGAATGCATAAACAGGACATGATGTGACACAATTCAAACTTGTACATATGGCTTGAATGGAAAATTGTAAAAATGGCGTCACATGCCTAGGGGTGCTTATATAATTTAGGCACTTTCTTGTCTAAATACTGAGAATGTTTTCCATAAAGTAATATAGAGGGCTGTGCCGGTGTAAGAGTATATGACATCTCTAGACAAAGAAAATTTAGAGCCCCAATATATTGTCTATATGCTTTTACAGTAAAACTAAGACGACTTATTACCCACGATTCTAGATGATTTTGTTTTTCAGTGAATCTGGTCGCCATAGGTGACACGAATTATTAGTGATATTCCAGCACTTATATTTTTAGAAATGCTACTTCCCTTTATTTTAGGTGGTCACTATGAGAGGTTTCACTGTATATTTATTTAGAATATTCAAATAACATATATTTAATGTTAAATTAAACAATATTAAGTTAGAGTTCAAAAATGGAAAAGATTTTACGATGTACCCTTTCTTAAGCTTCGATTCGTGAAATGTTAAACCGTCTGTAATGAAAAAAAGATAGATATTGCAGCCTTAAACTAGAAGATGATCACACAAACTCTATCCCATATTTAGAACCTGAGCTCAAATCATTAAGGGGAGAGTTGTTGCAGGCAACAATTATGTAGACCGAGTGGCAAGGGCATAAATTAAGTTAGGGGTGATACTGAAAAGCATTTACAAAAACATTATGTAGGCACACAGAAATTCTTATATTTTGCCGAATAACATATGTAAATGAATAAAATGGTAAATATGAGTGTTTCTAAAAGATATTTAATACCATTATCTATCAAAAGTTATGCAAAGCATATTTACCTTCCTATCAGCAGATGGTAGAAGGTAAAATATCTTAGACAAAGTAGCTCCTGGTATTATTGGGCATCCTTCTTTTGATTCAATGCTAGCAACTGCTTTATGGTAATGACCGTTGACCATTGTTACTTCAGTGTTTTGGATAACATTAACCTTGATGTTCCTAGGAAATAATAAGCAGTTGTTATGTTCATTTATTTTTCCAGAAATAAATCTTAACATGTGAAATCAATATTAAGAACTAACAGCTAATATTTTTTTTATATTTGTTGCATCAAATTTTTACATGTATGAGCTTCCATGTTTAATTCATATGAATCTGAAATTTTTACTTCTGATACATTTATAATGACATTATTAAATTATTCTCAAGCTATGCGATTACAAAATCTGAATATTTTACCTTATGGTTTTCTTAGAATGGTTGGTCACGACCATTTGGACAGCTATTTTATCCCCATGGAAATAATATTCTTTGTCCAAGGTAACTTCCATTTGAAGTTTTCCTGGGCTCAGTACGAATCCTTTACTGACGACGGCGCTTGGTTGTCTGGTGTTTGGTCCTGGCTGATAGTATTGCAGTTTTCTGATCGCCATAGAAACTGAGTTTCTTTTGTGTGGTTTTTCTTCTTTGTTCTCTGCAACGAATAATTTAAGTTCGTACTCAACACCCAAAGGTGCTCCTTGATCTTCTGGTCCTGGTTGCAAGGTGACCGAGGGTGGGGCATTTTCTGGCAAATCGAAGGTAAAGGGGATAGCACTTTCTCCCAGCTTCCTAATAAGTTTATCTTGGAGCTCAGATTTTTCCAGTCCTTGGTCTGAAGGATATACTTGTCCAAGAGCCAGATATAATTGCCTACTGAAGTGCAAACCCATGACTTCATCTTCTTCACGGCCATATCGAAAGGTTGTTACTACTTGGCCAAAAACTTTGCGATTTTTGACGTAGTCAGTATCAACCACTACAACTCCTTGAACTGGTTCAACGGAATCTCCATAATCCCCGAAATCTCTTTTGCCTAAAAAGAAAAAAATATTGTAAAATTTGGAGAGGGGGGAAACTAAAATGAAATAAATTGATTTTAAAAGTTAAATTTTTATTGCATATGAAGCCACGTTTTCATACAGTAACTCTTATTTGTGAAAATTGCATCCTCATGAAGTAATCAGCAGAATCAAATGATATTCATTTCACATATGACTTGTAGTGAGACAAAGAAATGATTAAATTTACAGAGCAGTACAAGAATACGAAATGCTGAAAATGAATATTTAGTGAAGCCGTTAGGCACTGCAATAAGAATTCCTATTCCTCATGACAATGAATAAAAAACAGGTTTCGAATGTGTACCCGAGGAGCAGCATTTCATATTGATTCCTTCCGAGTCTATATTGGCTGCGGGACGAATGCCACGAGCGAGTTGTCAGCTCACAAAATTCTAGACGTATCTGGTGGACTAAGCATTCCAAAAATGATGCGGTGTTTGACTTGCTGAAAAGTTTTAAATATTTCCAAAAATATGTGGATAGACGTTGCATGCTCGGCAATCGTCCAGTATGACGCTGGATAATACACTCCAGAAGATAGCGTTCGCACTATAGTGTCTAATGCGTACTCGAACTTTGTTATACTTCGAAACTGAAACAGATTTCATAGGAAAAAATGATCTATTGCCATGTCAGCACGCCAGTCACTGTGCTAATGAGCTGATTATAGTTACAAGTTTCGTTAGTTTTATGTCGAGGGAATTCTGCACAAGGAAATGCATGCACGTAATCTATGGCCCAGTAGACGCTGGGGAACTGTTGTAGTTGTCAGTGGCACGCATGCAGCAGTATTCCAGCGTCGTGCAAACGCATGATGAAAATACCTCATCCGCATAACGAGGACGGATCGTGCAGCTTTACTTCGACAACTGGTACGACACTGGAGCACTGTTGCATGCGTGCCACTGACAACTACAACACCCCCTACTTGTCAGTGGCACGCATGCAGAAGTGCTTCAGCGTCGTGCCAATTGTCGAAGTAAAGCTTCATGATCCGTTCTTGTCATGCGGATGAGGTATGTTTCATCATGTGTTGATATAATATTTCGCGGTCCATAGCCAGGTTTGCGACTTGCCCGAATGTCTTGACCTCACTGCTTCCACAAACACATCATTGATCAGGTAAGAGTTGCAATTTCACGATAGGAAAATTCTCTCAGGTTGCATATTCGCCTTCATTTAAAGAACGAGCTTGTTTATATTATCCCTTTATCACCGAAGAGGCATAGTGACTTAAGATAAGTTTTACCACTGGCAGTTAACGAAACACTATTTTGAACGTTCCACAATTACCCTCTATTTCTACGTCTAACATTACAGTTCAGTAAAGGCCTCTCAACACACATAAGGGCCGTCACTCCGAAATTCTAAAGTTGCACACCAAAAGCCGTAGGATGGTTAATATGGAAAATGCTGCATATCACTTGTAAAAGATAGCCCAGAGATTTTGCAAAGAACTTGTATTGATCATAGACGACAGGCTTATCTGGATTATTTACACGTATCACTGGTGCTATTAGTGAAAACGTGAATAACTATTCCGAAAACGGCGTGTGACAGTAGATCAAGTCAGCATGAAATACGGATTTGTTTACTCTAATATCATAGCCTGATTAAGTGTCATTAAATGTGCGCATATTGGACAACATACAACATCGCAAGCATATCATATATGTCTACAATTATTGCTATAGTATGAAGACGAAAGGTGGGATTTTACTGATTCTAGACATGCTATTTCAATTACAAAATCTTCTTAATTAAGGCAGATAATTTTGTGAAAACAGTTATCTCTTCCAAGGTGAGTCTAAAAGACAGAATTTATAGAGACGTTCTTCGTCTAAAATGGAATTCTCCTAATATTCTTAAAAAGACCAGATGATATTTTGTTAAAAAACTGGATGCAGCCAAGATTTGATTTTGTCGTAACAAGAATAAAAATAAAAGCAAGAGAAGCAGTTTAGAACATGCGTGCAACGCGGCCTAAATAAAGAAAGAGAATTATAAACTCTCTCTGATTGCCATCAATACAGTCAAAAGTCGTTAATTCGGACACCCATAATCCGGAATGATCTATAATCCAGACCTCAAAGCTACAAACGTTCTGCGCATGCGTTGCGTTGACGCACGCGCATAGGCGTTTACGTGTGCGCGAAAGACCTTTACGTCTGCGAATATGCGTGTGCGCATTCGCATAAAACGTTTACGCATGCGCGTTTAATGTATAACGGACGGTATAATCTAAGGTAAAATTATCTAATTCACTTAATGTCGCAGATTGCGTTGTTCTTAATCTTCGAATTGGATACGGCTTATTATTTTTTGCAGACTGTTAGAGCAATTTTATAAAAGTAAGCTTGAACTTTCGATTATATCAAATAGAATTTCCGATATATATTTGCTAATATGTAAAGGATCTAAAGCGAAAGTATGTTTCGAAATCCGAAATCTGTTAAAATTTCAGCTGCTCGCGGGGGGAACGCCGCGGCGCGCAATGAATTGGAAGTTGATCTGTCAGCACTATCCTTATCTTCAGGGCAGATGTTTTTATTTTATTTGGCTTATAATTCCTTACTAAATGTAGTATTTCATCTCGATGTACTCCGTCTTTGATATGATTTAAAACAAGTTCCTCGTCATTATAATTCGCTTCCGATAGTGAAGAAAGTGACACAGAGATTATTGAAAACGAAAAAATTTCGATTGACATATTAGTCGGTATTCTCGACACAGCAATTATAGGACTTGAACAGTGGAACTTTGTAACTAAACAAGGAATTATGTCTGTTTAATGGAATTAAAGAGAAAGTATTATCACATGAAACGAAGCAACTTAAACAACTTACATTGAAAGAAATGTTTAATAAAGTAAACAAATAAATATTAAGCTTTTTCTTTTTGTAAATTTTGATACCCTTTAGATCATAATTGTTCTTTATTTCATGAATTAACGGTTTCATATTTTTAATTTTGTAATTTCTGCATGCCATCTTACCAGATTTAAACTGATGATCTATAATCCGGAATCGCCGAAGTCCCGACGAGTCCGGATTAACGACTTTTGACTGTATTTGAATAAATAAATAAAAGATGAAACTTCCATACTACTCAACTCTTCTAGAAATATAAGAACCCTATTACTGTAGTGAATAATCTATATATCCAGACTTATCGATGACGAGATCTCATAAGAGACTGACAACACTGAACTTTAAAATTTTTAAGAGCTGGTTTGCTGCCTAAACAAGCGATAAAATTAGTTACTAAACAGCGATAAACTGTCTAAATAAATATTATAACATAATTTTATCAATCAGTTCTCCGAAATAAAATTACTGTAGAAACTATTCCGGCTGAACTACGGTTAACCAGCCGAATCTCATTACTGAAGAAAATACTCATTACTATGGACTGAAGAAATAAAAATGATAAATAGATATAGTATTATAAATCTTAACATTAATTTAGGGATAAAAGCACGATAAGGTAATATGTTGTACTAAAATAACATTATGAACAAGTTTTTTCAAGATGGTCACTTAAAAAGAGAAATATTTAAAACGATTTTTGAAACATTTTATAAAAAAATTAAAAATTAAAATAAAAAATAAAATAACTACAAAAATAAATGTTCCAAAAGTAATAAAAAATACAAATCTGGAAGCTTTCAGATTTTATATTACACCCAAATGGGCGTTTTTTTTTTTCATTTACACACACATACACGTTTCGATAGCATTTGGGCTAATGTCCTTTCGGCCTAAAAATATTTAAATATTTAAAAACCGCATATCTTAAGAATTTTCGGTAGACAATCTCGCGCGCTGGAGATAGCAATTTTTTTTTTTTTTTTTTTTTTTTTTTTTTTCGTGCAGTGTTAGCATTTCTCGCTTTGAAATCATTGAGTTTGTTAATCAAAAATTCGTTAAACTTTAACAAAATATGAAATAGACAATGAAACAAATTCCAAATTGGGGCTTCCAGGTACTCATATTCAAAATTTGATGGCTCTAGGTACCGTTGTTTTTTTACAAGGCAAGAAACATGCATACATTCATGCAGATTCTTCATTATTTAATGTCTTTAAATATAATACAGGGCTGTAATATTTGGGTGGCAACACTCTGAAAAGTGAAGCTGATGTTTATAGTGATGCATCGCAAAATGTCGTTTCGAGACTAATATAGCCCTTCTTTGGGCTAAAAAAAGGACTGTTTAGGAAAGAAATAGAGTAATGGGAATCGCAACCTAGAAGCCAAGATTTGTATCGTGATGACAAACTTGATCTTATCTATGCTTACCAAATTAATAAGATACGCAGCTTCAAAATTTACATGAATGCATATTAAAATTTGCCTATTGCAAGGAAATATTAATTAATTTCCTGCATTTCTAGAGCGATTTTTCCAAATTTAAAGGGAATTAGGGAATAAATTATTGTTCCTGAAAGCTACTACATTGCTAATAAAATATATGTTTTGTATTTAAACGGAATCGCTTTAGTCCGATAATAGACAAGTTTTGATTTTAGTGCACATATAGATCTCTAAAATGTCGCAAATGAGAGGGCATTAAAGTGTAATTTCGCCTCTCTTACACCTTAATAAATTTCTGTACTAAACTCATAAAGCTAATCTCGAAGTTTTTCTCACTTTCAGTCTTAGCTATACCAACATTCACTTATGTAACATTTTTCTCATCATTTATAGTATGTATATGTAATTAACTTTGAAATTTTTGAGACAAGGGTAACAATAAACGCTAAAAGAAAATTATTTGTTAGAACTGTTTTATGACCGTAGAGAATAATTTGTATAGACGATCCAATATCAACTATGGGGAAAAGACAACAAGCATGAAAATAATTAAAGAACTAAAAAAGTAATGTATGCTGTTTTCTTCAGAAATGCTCAAAGCCATTAATTTAGAGAGAAAGAAGATAGCTACAGCTAACTGGTTCACTACTAAATATCTTCCAGATAATTCTCCAAGAACTTAAAATTAAAAGACTCATGCTTCATTATGATAATGCGTCTTCTCATTCAGCAAGAATGCCAACCATCCACCATATTCGCATCTTACTACTGCTGATATATTGGCTGTTTCTTGATCTACAACAAAATTTACGTGGCCGTCTTTTTCATTTGGAAGATAAGATTGATGATGCTATAAAATCGTATTTTTGATCTCTTTCAAAGAATGGATGGTAGTAATCTTTGGAAAACTCGCCTTTTTAATAATGCATTAATGTTGGATAGGACTACGTCGAACACTTCCATGATTTTGGTATGCTTAACTTGTATCATTTAGCTGTGTCTCAAAACGTTCAGGGTGAGCCTCTTTTTTTTTTTAATTAGACTTAACAAAAGAAATTATTCCTTAAATGTCTTTTATATTTAGTGTAATTAAATAAAAATATATGAAGAAAGGAGACTAACAAGACATATTGAATTGAATTCGTAAAAACGGCCGACAGCCAATTGCCAGTTCATAAGCGCAAAACCATTACCCCCCCCACAAAAAAAATGCGACAAAGTAGCCATTTTCTACATTCAAAGGCACTGATTTTGTGCTGATATGTACATTCTATTGACTAAAGAAATTTTATGGCTATGACTTCAGGAATATTTCGAATCCCGACCACACCTTGCTGTGATTTGAAATCTCCTTCCAGAATGAAAGTTATTCTGGTGACGAAAACGAGACAATCTGTTGGGGATAGGTCTTGCGAATATATTCAGTGACAAAAGAATTTTGTTAACTAACTCTTGTAACTGTTTTATTTTCATGCAAGGATACCATGTATGCTTACTATAATTATACTTAATAGTATTGGCTGTTTTAGGCATAGTATTCTGGTATATTTCATGCAGTTTGGCTGAATAACAGTCTGAATTTCCGGCTTTAAGTTTTCTCAAGAAGACTCAACGAATGATATCACACAAGCACAACATCACACAAATAAGAGAATATTTAAGGACGGAAAGGAGATTTCGGCATGCTTCAAGGGCATTCGTCCGCATCCATCCACTTAACGGATCTGCATCGATTGTCGTAGCATATTCTTTTCCATCCCTAGTAACAATTCGACACAAAACCTCTTCCCATCTGTTTCTCAACATGAAGAAGGTAAATGCCTCCATCTGAAATGCAACGGTTGTGACAATGACCATGATCGTCATGGAGCATCCTCGTGCTTAACGTCTTTACCTTGTTGCAGCCTGTACGCAAGTGGAGATCTGTGGAATGGTTGTCAATAAACAATGGAATAATTGCATGTTCTAAAGAATAGTGGAATCGGGAATGAATTTTTCAGCTATACTACGGGCATATTATAGAGGATCAGCTTTCACATTTTGCTTTAAAAGATTGTCCGTAAAAGATTGTTATCTATATTTACGAGTACATTTTCCAGTGATATGTCGCCTGCACAACGCTTCGCAAACCAGGATGTTCACTATCCGTCTCTTGTTTTCGAAATCCAGAAGCTATGTATGATCTAACAGTGTGTGAATATTACCTGCGTAGCATGCGCAAAATGATCCAGTTTGAACTCAAAAGAAAAATCACCCTGAGTTGTTTAGAATCCATGGTTCACATTGACAGTTTGTTGCAACACAACGCTTAATTCGCAACCAAATAACCATCGTAACTTATTCATCATATATTTATCAAGCCATGGTGACAATATATTCTGCGGCTATGGAGTTACTTGATGCAATTGCTTTTGAGAAGAAAACTTATTTGTTAGCTGTAGACCACATTGCGAATTTTAAGTATAGTGGCAAGTTCTGGCCTGGTTTCTTTATAATTCAGTCAGATGAGGGAAATTTCGTCTTTCTCCATTCAAATTTTCAGCATTTGTGAAGAAACGGTGAAAACAAATATAAAATTTGGTTTGATTTAAAAAAAAAAGGGGGAAAATGTGTAATTTTAGAGCTTACACCGGATCAGAAATTTTATGTTGTTTCTTAAGGAAATTATACTAATTAGTGTGTTATTTCTTCTTTTCAAATGATCTAGCAGGTATTGCTACTCAGGAAGGAATAAAAAATTGCCGTTATAAAGTGTTGAAAGAAGTTACGTACCATGGTTATGGGAAGCCATACGAAGTTTCATAAGCACCTTTGTTATGCGGATTGCTAAGAAGAGTTTAGAAGCAAAATATTCGAAATCACGAATGTTATTCAAATTATGAAGACATAAAATATTTCTTCAGTGTAAGTTTAAGTATTTTTCTCAGTTTCATTTCAGTGATTTTGTCGAATTAATGCTAAAAACATTTTTAAACGTGCATTATTCTAACTTCATGAACATAAATTTTACTAAATTTTGATCTGAACCGAAATACCGGTAGTTTGCCTCGTAGAACTGTGTGATAGGTATAATACATATACCACATTTACTGGCATATTTCTCCAGATAGACTAATTTCCCTCTTTTTCTTTTCAGAGTATAATTCAGAAACGTCTGATTTATGGCAACATGTAAAATGTATGTTCAATTTGCTAAAGTATTTTATGTAACTCTGAAAAAAAAGAATATTATTAAAACTGAAAAGTCCTTTCAAATACACAAGATAATAATATTAGTATGCCTTTATGCGTGCTTCTTAATGCCTTATCATTTAAGCCATCTCTTTGGAAATAGGGCACTCCGAGTACTTTTCCCTCTCTATTTTCAAGCAGTAAGATTAGTAGAAAAAGGGCGGAAATATGCGAGCAAATAAATGGTATATGTAATGTTTTTTCTCGCATCTTGTTACGCTACTGAAACTTGAAAAACGGATGATACATTTTTTTCACACACACGGATAAAGAATACTTAATACAGAAGAAAAAAATTATTGGGGGCATATTAATTGTTATAATTGAATTACCTGGTTATTTTACTTTTGTGTTATATTCGAATGATATAAAAATCCATCTTCTAAGAAAAATTAAAAAAAAAAATAGTTAAAACTTATTATGTTTGGAATGCTATTATGCTTCAGAAAATTTTGCCTTTTTAGAAGGAATCTGTTCATTAACTAAAAAGAAATGTAGATTTTAAGATGCCATTCTATGGAAATTTCAATTCTAAAGGGAAAATCCAACTGGGAAATTCCCGAAACAATCACGTGGTAAAATATGAAAATTCGCAAAGTTTCGCCAGCTGAAATTTAGAGTAACAATTTTGAGTTCAAAGATTTATGATAATATTTTAGTGGGGACAATTTACCCGAAAGTAAGCAATAACAAAAATAACTAATATGTAATAAAAATAATATCGCATTTCACATTTTTTTATTAACACTCAAATTTATAAACCAATCATACTGTAAACATGTATTCAGAGCCTTTATGTTAGACCGAAATTATTATTAAAAGTATTACCATAAAAATTCACGAAAACATTGGTTAGAACATTTCTTGACACTAAATTTTGTAATAAATGGATTTTTTTTTTTTTTTTTTCTTTTTATTCTTTCAGGAAGGAGATTATATTATGATATATTTAGCAGTAAAACTTTATTTTTATTGGAGAAGAGAAATTATCACAAAATTTTTTAAGCATAATTCAAATTGCTTATATACATACTCACCTAAATATACAGTTAGTTTTCCATTAGGAGCAGTTTTCTTGAAGACCTTTACAGCTACAACATAAGCTAGCAACAGGAATGGGAACATGGCGGTTGTAGTTTAAGGTGAAGCAGTGCGTAGAGTTCTTTTGATAGAGCCAGCTTAAAGGGGATTTAGTGACTGCTAATCTTAAAATGCAACGTTCCCGTGCGAATGCGTCTTTTGTGGGGATTCTCGAATTAGGAAACCCTAGAAGAAAACTGAATTGTGATGATTCAAGCATGTTGAAGTGCCAATCATATAAAATCAAATGGACGGAATCACGATAAGTAATTTACAGGATGAATGAATTATTTTATTAAGCTGATTATACAATTATTTTTAACTTTCCGAAGATATTATGAAATTTGCTATTTCTGGAATTTTTATTTCTGGATCTAGAACCATGACTATAGCAAAAGATGGAAGTAAAATTTTAAAGGTTTTGTTCTTTCTCAGATATTAAAATACACTAATCCTAAACGTTCAAAATCTTTGCATTGATACGATAATTAGTGTTTCATTAAAGTAAAATTAACATTCAAATGGGTTGTAGTATCTCTTAATCTTATGTTTGTATTAACTGACATCATCCAAAATTACTGATTCAGTATATGCAGTAAAATGTCAGGTTTATACTGCAATACTCAGGTTTATTTTCTAAAATGTTAACTTCGCATTTCTTAAAAGGTTTTGCTTTTAAAATATAAAAAGCAACTCATACGACATTCATCAACATTTACATAATCATTTGAGAGTTCTATTTTAAAACTATTCGTATCTGATTTATTATTCCTATCATCACTCTCGTAATTGGCCTGAAAAGGAATTTTCTTCAAACTTAATTCGTGTAGCCTTCCAAACGCACTCTGTATTATTTTTCTTTTCTTGGCACAGTATTGGATTTTAATAGTTTCTTTTGCGACAATTCAAGCAAGCAATTTTTCATGTCATCTTCACAATCACTGCGTAGAAAATGTTCGCTGCAAATTCTTGCGTTCTTCATATTAATAGAATACTAACTTTGACAAATGTACTCATTTTTCTCGCCAAAAACAAAGTGTACTTTGCAAATATATGAAATGCAGTATCCCGTTCTTTCTCATTTCTATGAATTTTATAGCTACAACGGAAGAAGGCATATTACATTAACGATACTTTACAACAGTGGTTTCAAACTTATGTTACACGCGGGCCAATGCACAATTTGAAAGTAATTGATGGGCAGCAGCTACTCCCCCTACAAAAAAGGGGGAGGGGCGGTTTGTTTTAACAAACCAAAATTTGTTAATTAAGTTAAAAACTGTTTACTAGATAATTGTAAAACATATGAATAAAAATAACGCAAAGGAAAACAACAAATTTGTACTTATAATTTGTTCGAAATCTAATTTGCCTGAAATCTAATTTGCCTGAAGTTGATATCTGCAAGAATTTTTTTTTTTTTTTGTCACAGTTTTCAATTCAAACAGACAGCTAAATATTAAAATTTTCAAACTGGCATTTATTCAACTAATTGTTATTTATTGAACCACTAAGTAACTTAATTTTAATTTAAACTAAAAAGAAATACACGAAAGTTTCCCAAGAGGGACGAAACCTGAGAATAAATAAGGACAACTTATTCTCTTTCTTTTATTTATTTAATTTTTCTATAATGCAAAACATAGAAAAATTATATTCGGATAATAGATTAATATTCGGATGATGCAAAACAGAAAAAAATATATTCGGATAACACAGATTAATATTCGGATGCTGAGCTAAGATTTCATCGCATTCTAACAAAAATTGCTCAAGAGAGATCAGATGACTGATCACTTTTCAGAATTACCGGAGCTAAAGATTACATTAGAAAATTTATTATTTTGCTATTTTTAGAATGAAGAGGGAAAGGTGTTCAAATTTCAAACAGAAATTATTAATTCGTTATTAGAAAGGTAGATATTTTATATTCTACGCGCATACACACACGTATATACAAATCAATAAAATGCAAAGTAAAAGCAGCTTAGAAACCTAATACAATTGCTCTCTGACAGCAATAACAAGTGGTGTGATAATAATGCAAAATAAATTAAAATAAATAATGCCTTTAAAATTCATCATAAATTCAATTATTCGGAATAAATCATATGTTTAAATATGCATTATCACATATGGTCAGATCATAAACCATATGTTTCCTTGAGTTTATTCATACGGATTCATAATACATACAACTTATATATGATTTATTTCGAATGGGATGAATTTGAAACGTAGTTGTTATTTTAATTTGTTTTAGATCGTACGTGCAACGTTAATAACGTTAACAAACATAGCAGGCGGGTATATAATGCAAAATAAAATAAAAAATAGAAAATAAATTTAAAATTCATCACACATTCAATTCGGAAAACATCCCATGCAAAAAAAAAAAAAAAAAAAAAAAAAAGAAGAAGAAGCACAGTGGTAAAATGCCGGAAATAGGAGGGCAAAATATGCCAAAACTTAAAAATGAAATATGGAATTTACATCTTTCTCTGCATCGTCATCAAGAGGTTGGTGCAACGAGAGTAGTAAATAAATAAAACACCTGTTTCTGAAACTGCAAAGACACAAAGTTTGAAATTCAAAATTAGCCTTGAGAAACCATTAAAAGTAATCTTAAGTCCTTATTTTTAACAACGCAAGGTTACAACGCAAGGTTTTTACAACGCAAGGTTAGGTTCTTCGTAACGTTAAGTACACAAGTGAAAGTAACGAGGAAGTAGTAGACGCTTTTGAGCAGAACAGGAGCATAGACGTTATGAGTTCTATGAATAAAAGTCGTGACATGTTGTAGTACAGTAACCAGGCCCGGACTTAGAAACCCAGGGCCCCTAGGCACTTGACATTTGCCCTCCCCCCACCATCTCGAAGCTATTTTGCAAATTAAATGCACTAGTACAGAACATATAATTTTAATCGACTTTAATGACTTTAATAAACATCATAATTCAGAATAATACAGTCTATGTTACTATAGTTACGTTATTTTATAAAATTTATAGAATCATACGACGAACTTTCTTCTGAGCAAAAGAACGAATGAGACGTCATCATAGTTAATTGACTGCATTTTTTCTGACTCTATATACATAAGAGAGAGTGAATTTAGCCTGTTCTCTCCTATTTTAGATCTTAAGTAATTGTTTAGTCACTTTAGCGCTGAAAACGACCGTTCTGATAAGCAGTTTGACGCTGCTATACACAACAGCATTCGGAACGCTATTCTTACGTTTGGATAAATGTCCAAAAAGCCTTGTTCCGATAAGTGTTTGTATAGCTATACGTATAGTGAAGTTATGGAGTTGTATGACTCCATAACTTCATCATTCGACGACAAATGAGCTTGCAGGTGCAGACACTCGTTGTCCAACCCCCCAGATAAAAAGTTATGAGGTTCCTGACTCTTTCACGGATGTATTTAGATTCCAAACGATGTAGTTTCGTAAGACCGTCAAAATTTTTGCTTAACTCCTCATAAGCAGATTCGCGTCTACGAAGTTTAGTAATGAGTCTATCTATAATGACGTTAAAAATGGTATCTCTGAATGTGTCCCTGCCAGAGCATTTGGTCTCGTTTCCTTTTACTTCGTCGAACAGGACTTTACGCTTACGTTTCCTTTGCATGTCATATGCACAGCTATTTTCACCGGATTTTTTAATAACTTTCGACTCATGATGATCAAAGGTACTGGGTTTCCTTAAGTATTATAGGTATGTTACCAAAGACTGATACAGTTTAACGATCGCACCCAGGTCGATGTTAACAGATTGGAGAGATCTGCTTACTTTGTTGAATTTTTCCAAGATGTCATTCCAGAGAAGTGATAGAAAGCAAGTTTCTATCGAGTCTAATGAATTCAGAAGACCTGAAGCCTCAGAGCGCGTAGGTGGTTTTTCATTTGCATCATTGGCAATTATCTGAAGAGCTGCCATGATCTCATCCCAGAAACAACATAAACTTCGGCAAGTTTCATCTCGAGCATACCATCTTGTCTGAGAAAGGCTCGTCACAACTGTTGAATTTGAATTCAGTTTCGACAGCAAAGTTTCCCATCTATGTGTTGATGCCGAAAAAAATTATATAATGACTGCAAAATACCGAAGAAAGATACAGCAGCTTGACAAGACTCGGCTGCACAGGATCCAAGAAGATTGAATGAGCCAAACAGGGAACGAAATCTATCAGAGGGTTCACTTGTTTTATTCTCGCTTGAAGACCAGAATATACATCCGACATATTGCTAGCATTGTCGTAAGACTGCCCCCGGCATTTGGGATATCCAAGTCGTGATTTTTTAATGTCTCTAGGACGACTTTAGCCAGGTCTTCCGTTTATGGCTACAATTTGGGATGAATTTCAAAAATCGTTCGATAGGACATCCGTCTTCAGAGACATATCTCACTATGAAAGAAAGTTGATCTACATGAGAAATGTCCGGAGTAGAGTCCACACAGATAGATGAATATTTGGCTTTGTCTTATCTCAATCACGATTGCATTTATTATTTTTTCTGCCATGATATTGATCATTCCATCGCATATTTTGGACGAAAGATATGATGTGCCACTTCTTTTGTTACCGTGGCGTTTTATGTGTAAGTTCAGAAAAAGATCGAATTCAGCCAAAGGTTCTAGGGTCATAACATAATTACCACTGTTTTTTGATCCAAATCTCTCATGAAAACCTCTAATGGGCAATTTGCGTTCAGAAAGTGACCTCACAACAGCAACAATGCGCCTCAAAACCTCATGCCAGTATTTTATTTCTTCTTTCGTTTTAAGAACAAAACTCTTGTCAACTCTACCGCCAGCATTCTTCCTAGCTAATAGTGTCGCAAGTGCTGACCTGTGTTCGTCCGAAATTCTCATGTTCCTTCATTCTTTGAACTGCGTTTTTCCAATCGTTGTACCCTTCATTAGCTAGCGACTCTAATTTCCCTGACATCTTACAAGGGGCGCAAAACACTGCACCCTTGGTTTTCGAAAATATGAGCCAAGTATGAGGTCGTGTTTCACCATTGCTTAACACGTTGAGCGCGGCGCCGATCCCTGGGGACCGGCAGTGAACTTTACGATGTCGGTCCCCACTGGAATTTTCGTTTGGTTG